GCAGGCAATGAAGGGTATACTTGCAGGTGAGCAGCAAAAAATTAGTAACTAGAACACAGATCTTTCTAGCTCACATTTTTCTGTCACTGATGTATACTTTGGAGCTGCAGAGAGATTGTTAATGGTTGTATCCTCAGTTTTAGAATCACAAGGGTCATAGTAATGAAAGAAGGTTCTGAGGCAAAAAAGAGTGGGATGGCCATAAGAACAAAATCTAGCACCTGAACATGGCAAGGTCTACGTGGAGAATTTCTATCAGGAGTTGAATTGACTAATGTCAGTATTGGTAATTCTGCTTCTTGAATCCCTAGGTATATGTGGGCTTATCATTTCAACAGTTCAATTAGCTAGATCTGTTCTGGTCTTCTGATGGGTACTTTTCTCTTATTTTTAACTATGTATGGGTATTGCCTTCAGTACCTTTTTTTTTGTTTTTTGAGATGGACTCTAGCTTTGTCACCAGGCTGGAGCGCAGTAGCATGATCTTGGCTCACTGCAACCTCTGCCTACTGGTTCAAGCAATTCTCTGGACTCAGCCTCCCAATAACTGGGATTACAGGTGTGCACCACCACATCCAGCTAATTTTTGTGTTTTTAGTAGAGAAAGCGTTTCACCATGTTGGATTGTCTTGATTTCTTGACCTCATGATCTGCCTGCCTTGGCTTCCCAAAGTGCTGGGATTACAGGTATGAGCCACCGCACCAGGCTCCTTCAGTACCTTTTCTACCCACACACATGCACAAACACATATATGCATACACATACAGTTCACACACACAGACACACATGTACACAAACACACACACTCGCACACAGACACACACCACATTTCAACTTAATTGTATGGCTGTACTTAAGATTGATTTGTTTGCTCCATAATTTACAGTTGTGTATAAAACATGCCTGAGTAAAGAGCACTAAAACCCTGATTTTAGCATTTTGGCCTTCAGCACTGAATTGGCCCAGCCGATATTACCCTCTTCCCCCCTGCCCTTTGGATGACTCCTGTCCCACTTTAAATGATTAGGCTTCCGTCACTGTGTCTTTAGGATCAGTGCTCTGACTTTCTCTCAGACTGGGCCTTCTCCCCAACCCAAGAAGAGACCTTAGGATCTGCTCATAAATTTATTCAATGCTCGCCGGCTGAGTATGCCTTGTTCCAGTCTTCTCAATCAATGTGGTCTGTGGTTCTCAGTAGTTTAATAGGTCTTGCCAATATATGTGGAACAGTCTAAAAAAACTTTGTCGATGAAATTAACCAAAAGAGCCCCAGAATAATGAGACATTAAGGTCCACACCGTATGTGCATAGGCTGAGCTGGGACCTGAGTGGAAGGGAGGGGCGTGATGTCAGGTGTGGGGGGTGGGCTCTGTGTAGAGATAACTTCCTCAGAAACTCCTCTCCTCGATATCTGATCACCCTTAATAGCTGATCAGATCTCTTATCCACCATTCTCCAAGTGATATTTGATCTCCCTGGCCTGCCATTGGCAAGAATACTGTTAGATCAGTTTAGCCAAAATGTCCCCATTGCTGATGCTTCCTTTTAGTAATTTTCCATCCACTGACACCCACCCTGCTCCTTGGCTGTCAATTCTCACTTGCTCATGCTATATTAGGAGATGAGTCCTATCTCTCTCTGCCAGTGCAAGACCCTGTTATGGTGGTTCCTTTGCCTACTGCAGTTTTCCTGAATAAGTCTCCCTTACCATGCTTTCACAAGTGTCATTGAATAATTATTTTTAACAAGACTATGATGAATTTTTTTTTTTTTTTTTTTGAGACTGAGTTTCGCTCTTGTTACCCAGGCTGGAGTGCAATGGCGCGATCTCGGCTCACCGCAACCTCCGCCTCCTGGGTTCAGGCAATTCTCCTGCCTCAGGCTCCCGAGTAGCTTGGATTACAGGCACGCGCCACCATGCCCAGCTAATTTTTTGTATTTTTAGTAGAGACGGGGTTTCACCATGTTGACCAGGATGGTCTCGATCTCTTGACCTCGTGATCCACCCACCTCGGCCTCCCAAAGTGCTGGGATTACAGGCTTGAGCCACCGCGCCCGGCCGACTATGATGAATTTTTAAGAGCCAAATCCTTATTGTTTTCCTGATAACACAATTATTATTTCACCAGAAAAATAAATATAAGAAGTCCATTTTAAATGTATCTCAAACCATCAGAAAAGGACTTAACCTTATTGAACTGAGCTACCAGGAAAGTGGAGGGAAGAAAAATGGATAGGATAGGTCACTCAGTTCAAGCACTGTCTGGCTGCCACCAATGAGCTAGCTGTACCTGTTTTAGGACAGAGCAGTACAAAGAAAGTTAATATTTATCAGTTAAAAGCAAAGTAAAAGAGGAAAGCAGCAATTCAGCCCTAAACAGAATTAAGAGTCAATCATTTGAAATATAGAAAACCCTAGCAATATCATTACAAACAACAACAACAATAAATCTTCTATTGTATAATGACACATTGTGCAATAACTAAGACATAGATTATTTAAAGTCTTCTTGGATGTTGTAAGTTATTTTCAGGGCCAAAAAGTAAAACAACAACAACAACAACAACAAAAGACCCAAAAAAAACTGCTCTTGCAATTCAAGTTCTGGTATATATTTTGCAAATGCTGGAATGCTCAACTCTTCCTGAAGAAGGAGCTCTCCTTATTTTGATCAGTTTATTGAACGAAAATTGTCTCTGTTGCTGATATAAATCCAGTCTCCCAAATCTTACGTTCCCCACAATTCTTCAGACATCACCGATAAGAGTTCAATGTTTTCACTTGGACGTATCTGAGAAGTAGTTTGTCCAAGGTTGGGAAACGAGAACTCATCTAAAGAAATTAAATTTCCTTCTATGCTGTTTACATCTAGGTGACAGATCATGAAGGGAGTATAGAGCTTGTGGTAACTAATGGAGATTATGAATCTCAGGTGCACCCTATTAGAGCAGTAACTGTATCTTATTCCATTGGCTTTTATTTTCTCTCTCTCTTTCCCTTCTTTCTTCCTGCCTTCCTTTCCTCTTTCCCTCCTTCCCTGTCACTCTACTATGCTTTTCATACAGAAAACGGTCATATTGAATCAGAGCCCGGTTTATTCCAGTGTGACCTTACTTAACTAGTTACATTCTCAGTGACCCTATTTGGTGATGAATTTCTGGGGAAACAAATCAATCCAAATATTGGAGTATCTCAGAGTGTGTCCATACCCAGTGATAACCCCAAATGAGTAACAGCAACCACAGTGGACAATGGTATAGTAACCAGAGGCTCAGACACTCCTGTCCTTCTTCTTCCTCTCTTCCTCTCCTTCCTTCTCCTAGAATTTCTGGCTGTCCATTGCAGTTAAGAAGCAAAGATTAAATCTGAGTGGAGCAAACGGCAGATCATAGAGAACATTTTTCATTATCCTGCCGACATATCTTGGATTTTACTGTGCTTGGGCCATTTTCTATCTGGCAGAATCTGCATCTCTGTGCGTAAGTACTCTTACATTGCAGCTGGAGAGAGTCATGTCACCTGTGCATGCCATACAGAGGAATATCACTCAATGATTCCTGAGAGCTTATTTACAAAGACTCTAGCTCCCTTATTTCTGAAGTTGGAGAATGCTGATATACGTAACTTTTAAAAAGTCATTTCTGATAGTTTTCCTTTTGGTTTAAGCTTTAGTTGGTCACTGCGGTGCTTACTGGCTCAATAGTGTACCCTTTTCTGTATCACTTCCCTGATCCCTACCAGTGTGATCTGCACTTCCCAGCAAACTACTTTCACTAGAATGTTCTCAGTGTCTGTTCTGGGAGAAACCACACTATGACATTACATTATCTCTCTCAGCCTCAATTTCCTCATCTCTAAAATGGTAACAATATCTACTGTGCACATTTCTTTGAGAATAAATATCAATGAACATAAAACATTTAGTAACTATCTATCAAATGGTAGGCAACCTAGAACATGTTAGCTCTTTTTTTGTTCAGAAAACTTTAAAAATGATTTTAATATTGAAGATAAGAATATATTTGTAACTAACTAGATCAACTAAATTCTTTCTTTACTAGCTTTATTGAAATATAATTAACAAATAAAATTTGTGTATATTTAAGAATGTTTTGATACATATATTCATTGTGAAATAATCACATATTTATTAACTCACATGGTTACCATTTCCTTTTTATTTTTGTGGTGTGAACATTTAAGACAACTTTCTCAGCAAATTTCAGGTCTACAGTAAAGTATTTTATCCACATTAGTGTACACCAGATCTGCAGAACTTATTCATCATATATAACTGATGTTGGCCAAAGAGAATGTGACAGTTCTTTGTCTCCTTTACCCCATCACCCAATGACTATCACAGTCAGTGGCTTTTCTCTTTTTCTGGAATTTTCAGAGCATACCAGAGATACACTCTCAAAAGATGGCATCTGTATTTTATAATGAATAACTTAAGTTTATTCTGCTGTGTCGATATGTATTCAAGAGAAGAAGAAGGAGGCCAATATGTAGTCAGGAGAAGAAGAAGAGGAAGAAGAGGATGAAGAAGAAGAGGAGGAGGACGAAGAGGAAGAGGAAGAAGGAGAAGGAGAAGGAGGAGGGGGAGAAGGAGGAGAGGAGGAGGAGGAGAGGAAGAAGAAGAAGGAGAAAGAGGAGGAGGAGGGAAATGTTATCTGCAAATACAGGAGGTTATTCCTCTATTGATGAGTAAAATTAAGTGCATGTCTTGCTAATGCTGACATGCACTTAATGTGATTTTTACTTTATTGAGTTAAAGGTAAGTGCCCTTTAACAGAAGGAGAAGGCCACACCTTGTTCTGAGTCTGTCCATTATTAGCTAAATAACATCACACATTAAAATTTTCTCAGCTGGAAAGTAAAGGTAATAAAACATGACTGTCTGTTTTGATAATCAAATTAGGAAGCATATATAGTACACAACATGTGTGTAAATCCCCCATCAGGAATGCTGTAAAATAAATATAAAACCCCACTATGTAAGATGAAGAATGGTTTTGAGTTTATTAAGAAATATATAGGCAAAAATTCCTGTTTCTAGGGAGAAAACCAAAAGTGATCATGAAAAGAAGAAAGATACGAGCCATGAGGAGGACATCGAAAAGGAAAAAGACTGTGAAGATTATTGATCACTTACAAAAACTAACTTTCTTAGAGAAAGATAATGAAGCTCTTGATTTTAGAGTCAAGCTGAGACCATGACTCCAAATTGAAAATACATAAAGCTAGCACATGATCCACAAAGTGTAAAGAAAGAGAGAATCAGGCTGAAGTATTCTGCCCTCACTCAAGCTGATTCATAAGATGTTAAACATGCAGAGAAGTCATAAAAATTAGGGTGAGCATGCTGGTTGTCAGCAAAGTTTGAAAGTTAATTTGTCCTCCAAGTGGAGGACAGAAGGTTGTCAGAGCGCCGTCTTGTGAGGATGATGGTCCTTTTGGGAACTGATCAGCAGCAAGAAGGCTGGCAGCAGCTGGTCACACAGGTGGGCTGGCAGCAGGTGGTCTCACAGCAGGCTGGGCGGCAACAGGGCTGGCAGCAACTGGATCCACAGCTCTGGTTTAGGCAGCCAGGCAGGCAGACACACGTGGGGTGGTAGCAGGTCCTCGTGCAGTACACAGGTGCACAGGAGCTGGTCTGACCACAGATGGACCCACAGCTGGTCTGGCCACAGCAGCTGGACCTACAACAGGTGGGCTGGCAGCAGGGTGTGCTGCAGCAGGAAGGCTGGCAGCAGGTGGTCACACAGGTGGGCTGGCAGCAGCTGGACACACAGCAGGAGGGCTGGCAGCAGCTGGACACACAGCAGGAGGGCTGGCAGCAGGGTGTGCTGCAGCAGCTGGTCACACAGGTGGGCTTCCAGCAGGTGGTCCTGCAGCAGGTGGTCCGGCAGCACGTAGGCTGGCAGCAAGGGGAGCAGCAGTGGGTCATGATGTCAGAAGTGGACGGTGGGCTCCTGTTCAGAGGTGAGTTTCCCAGAATCTGGTGGCTCCTTCCAATCTGGGCCTTTTATACATGTGGCCTCCAAAGTTTCCACCAATCAGCAGGACTTTTCCTTGTTGCTGTTTACATTGTTTTCCACAGTCCGATTGGGATTGTCAAAGGGGAAGTTGTTTTTGAAATCTTATGAATCTTTTGAAAGTAAGGGTTTAATCTGTTTCTTAATTGTGAATTACTCACAGAAACTTTTGTTTCAGATAAAAGGAAGCCCGTGTCATCATTAGCATGGTTCCTGCTCTGACCATCTTCTGGTCATGTGATAGTTCCTGGTGACTGGGAAGGCTCAAGTTCTCTCTAGCAACCTCCTTCTTTGGCTGTATGTAGATTGGGAAGTGTCTGCGGGGAAAAGTGTGACGCTCATATATTTATAGTGACCAAAGGAACCCATGTCTGTGCCCAAAACTGCTCAGCTACCAAAATCTGATTCAAGGCTAACAGGTATCTCTCTGTAAAACACACACCACCTGTGTCTTTCAGTTCCATCAAAATCACTTGGGAACAGGGTGTTTGGCACAGTGTGTTCTATGTGGCAGAGCAGAATCGAAGTAGATGGGTACAAAGAGAAGTCCACTGGGATTTAGACAGCATCAAGCAATCTTTGCCCTGGGGTGACCATTCATCCTGATTTGTCTGGGAGTGAGGGGCTTACCAGGAATAGAATGTAGGACTTTCTGTGACATAACTGCTTTAGATTGAGGCCAACCAGCATGAGCTGTGTCTCAGCTCTGATCCTGGTTACCAGCACAGTCCGTGCCATTTCTTCTGTATTTCTTTTAATGAAGGAATTAGTTGAGTTGAGATGACACCTGATTCATCTTGGAATTGTAACATAGTTAAACATTATTTAGGTACAGAATTCATTTAGGAAGAATGTAAATTATGAATTTTCAACTTGAGCTAACTTTGTAAATACATCTGTGATCCCGTTACCAGGTTAGGAAACAGAAATTAATCCCATTCCCTTTAGATTATATTCTCTTACTCATTACCCAAAACAGATAATCCCTCTATCAAGTTCTAACACTGTAGTTCAATCTGCCTTTTTCTTTTTTACTTCTGTGTGAACTAAAATGATAATATTTTCTTCTCTATTTTTTTTGCACAGTCAAAAGTAATAATTATTGCCTAGTCATTTTACACTCTTCATGTCAGCAGATCAGAAGGCAAAGAACAGAGTTCCTATTTGGTGAGGAGTAATTATCCTGAAGTCGGAGAATGTAGGAGAATCTATCTGTAGCTCAGAGATTTACTGAATATATGAATTTACAGCACTGCCATGATAAACTACTACAAACCAAGTGGCTTAAATTTATTTTCTCATAGTTCTGAAGGCCAGCAGTCTGAATTTCAGGTGTGGACAAGGTTGTTTTTGCCTGAAGAGTGTAAGGAATGTATCTGCTCCTGGTCTCCTCCTTGATTTGTAGATGTGTGTCTTCTCCATGAGTCTCATGTTAGCTTCCTTCTAGAAGCACACTGCCTCTGAACTTCCCCATTCTACACGGCATCAGTCATATTGAATCAGACCCCTAACTGATTCCAATATGACCTGATCTTTACTAATTACGTTTTCAATGACTCTATTTGAGTATGAATTTGTGGAGACACAAGTCAGCCCATAACACTGAAGAATCTCATAGTGTATCCGTGCCTGCTGATAATCACCGATGAGTGAAAAGAGCAATCACAGCAGAGAATGATACAGTCACTAGCAGCTCAGACCTTTCAGAGAGGAAGCTCTGGTTTACTCCTTCAGGAAAGTATGTAGAGCAACAAAAGTGCTGGACAGTGGTGAATGAAGTATCGAACTTGTGGTAATTTGTGGAGATGATGAGTCTCAGGTGCACCTTATTACAGTAGCAGCACCTGTTGCTTGTTTCATTGGCCTTCATTTTATATATCTCCCCCTCCTTTCTTTCCATTCCTTCTTAGTTTCTCCTCCCTCCCTCCCTCCCTCCCTCCCTCCCTCCCTCCCTTCCTTCCTCCCTTCCTTCCTTCCTTCCCTCCCTCCCTCCCTCCCTTCCTTCCTTCCTTCTCTACCTCCCACCCTCTCTTCCTCCCATCCTTCCATCCATTCCTCCTTCCCCCCCTCCTTCTTTCTTCTTTTTCTTTTGCTTCTTCTTCTTCTTCTTCCTTCCTCCTCCTCCTTCTCCTCCTCCTCCTCCTCCTCCTCCTCCTCCTCCTCCTTCTTCTTCTTCTTCTTCTTCTCCTTCCTTCCTTCCTTCCTCCCTCCCTCCCTCCCTCCCCCCCTCCCTTTGACCCTCCTTCCCTCCTTCTTTCCTTCCTTCCTCCCTCCCTCCCTTCTTTCTGTCTTTCTTCTTCCTCTCATCTTCTGTTCTTCCTCTTTCTCCTCTTCCTCTCCTCGTCTTCCTTCTTCTAGAGTTTGTGGTTGCTTACCGCATTTAAGAAGCAAAGGTTGGGTCTGTGTGGAGCAAATGGTAGAGTGTAGCTAAGATTTCATTATTCCACCCTGTATCTTGGATCTTAGTGTACTCAGACCAATATACATTCGCCAGAATCTGCATCTCTGTGCCTAAGGGCTCTTGTATTGCAACTGAAGAAAGTCAAGTCACCTGTGCATGTCACACAGAGAAATCATTCAACCAATGGTTCTGGAGAGTTGATTTATGAAGACTCTAGCTTTGTCCCTCCTGAAGCAGGTCATTCTAACTTGTTTTTTTTTCATCATTTCTGACAATTTTTTTTTGTTTTAAGCTTAATTGGTCACTGTGATACTAATTTCTTAGTGTACCCTTTTCTTTATCACTTCTCCAGCATCTACTGTTGTGATTCGTACCTTTCAATAAACTACTTTCACTGGAATATTTTCCTCAGAGTTTGTTATGGGAAAACCAAACTCTGATACTACACTTCTTCTCTCAGAATCAGTTGTCTCATCTCTACAATGGGAACATTAACACCTAATTTGAAGGTTTCTTCAAGAATTAATGATAATATCCATAAGGCATTTAGTTAATGCCCATGAAATGGTAGGCAGCCTAGGACATATTAGTTGTTTCTATGTCCATAGAAAATATTCTGTTTTATTCTACAGGATGTTCATAGAACATTCTAATTTTAATGTTGAAGATAAGAAACCATGAATCATAATTAACTAGATTAACTAACTTCATTTTTACTAGCTTTATTGAGACACAATTGACCAATAAAGATGAAAATTGTGTGTGTCTAAAGTGTATGAAGGAAGGCAGGGAGGAAGGAGAAACTAAGAAGGAATGGAAAGAAAGGAGGGGGAGATATATAAAATGAAGGCCAATGGAACAAGCAACAGGATATATATATTTATTGTGAAATCATAATATATTCCCTAACTCACATAGTTACAATTTCCTTTTCACTTTTATGGTGTGAATACCTCAGATCTACCTTCTTAGCAAATTTTGGGTATACATTAAAACATTTTTGTTAACCATAGTCACTTTGTTGTACACTAGATCTGCAGAAGTTACTCATCTTGCACAACTGATGTTGGTCAGAACAATGTGATAGTTCTTCATCTTCTTTACCCCATCACATAATAACTATCACAGTCAGTATCACAGTCATTGACTTTCGTCTCTTAGCTGAGTCTTCAGAGCATTCTAGATACACCGCCTCAGAAGTTGGCATCTGTCTTGGAAACCTACCTTGTTAGCTCTTCAGAAGTATTTTTACCCGTCCCACGCCGGCAGGAGGTCCCAAGATGGTGGCCCAGGTCCCTAACAGTTCTAATTCTCTCAGGGCCAGTATCAATCAATCATTCCATGACTGAATACTTCAGTTGCGTCATCAGTTCAGGAACAAAAGTACCAGTCTTCCATCTATCGTGTCTTCCACAAATGAGAAAGTTCTTCCACTTTTCCTCCTTCTTAAATTCTACTGATATCCCTGAAAATCAGAAGAATTGGTTTCTTCAGATGCTTCCTATTTGCCTCACAAAACACAGAAGGTCGTTTTCTACCTTTAGTCGGCACAGAGATTATGGTTTGTGCAAAGCCATACATGCCCACTGGATAGTCCCTCAATCCCCAAATGTGTTTTACATAATTTTCCTAATAACAATTTGATGTGAGGGACAATTTCACTTAATGTGGCTTAATGTATTGTCCACATTTTAGAGGAAATAACTTAATTTCATTTTGCTTTGTCAACAGGTATTCAGGAGAAGGAAGCCATATAAGAATTTATTTACATGATATAAATCCTCAGATCAGACTCTCTTTCATGGGGGCACAATGCATTCTCACAAATGTTTGATCCAGATTAATTGAATAAATACCTGGTCAGAGGTAGAGAGGAAAGAGATCCACATTCAGGGGAGCTATTAAATGCAATCCCGGTTTTCATACCATGTAGCTATTACTCAGTGAGGTGTGGAAAACTAATTTGGGAAGACCTTTGTGAACAGAAATGTTATCTGCAAATGTGAGAGATTATACCACCCATGTTCACTAAACTCAGTGCATGTCTTGCTCTTACTGAATCCCAGTATCATTTCTACTGAACTGAGAGTTAAATAGGAGGGTTCTTGGGTAGAAAGAGAAGATCTCACCTTGGACCCGAGTCTGTCCTTTATTAGCTACATCAAATCACACAATAAATTGTTCTCAGCTGAAAAATTGAGGCAATTACACATGAGCATCTGTTTTCAGAATCAAATTGGATGTTACATATAGCATGTGACATGTGTGTAGATCATTTATCAGGAATTCTGTAGAATAAAACAAAACACCATATGAGATGGAGGATGGTTCATAATTTATTTAGTAACACATAGGTAAGAATCTGTGCTACAAGGGACATAGTCCAGAGTTGTCATAAATAGGAGAAAGAAGGGCAAAAACCATGAGGAGAAAATTGAAAATGAAAATACAATTGCAAAGATTCAGTTGATCAAAAGGATCAATTACAGAAACGCAAATTTCTGAGAAGCAGAGAATGAAGCTCTTGAAGTTAGACTCAAAGCTGAGACCAGGACTCCAAACTGAGGACACAGGAAGCTGGCACATGATCCACAAAGTGTCAGGAGAAAGAGAATCAGGACGAAGTACTCTGCCCTCCCTCAAGCTGAATCACAAGATTTTAAACATGCAAAAAAAAAAAAAAAAAGTTAAAAAAAGATATTGGTGAGAGCATTCTGTGTTGGAAAGTAAATTTGTCCCCTGAAAGATAAGTAAGTTGAGGTTGGGCACGGTGGCTCACGCCTATAATCCCAATATTTTGGGGGGTTGAGGTGGGTGGATCACTTGAGGTCAGGCATTTGAGACCAGCCTGATCAACATGGTGAAACTCCATGTCTACTAAAAATAAAAAATTAGTCAGGCGTGGTGGAATAGGCCTGTAATCCCAGCTAGTTGGGAGGCTGAGGCAGGAGAGTTGGTTGATCCTGGGAGGCAAAGGTTACAGTGAGCTAAAATCATGCTACTGTACTCCAGCCTGGGTGATAGAGTGAGAATCTGTCTCAAAAAAAAAGTGAGAATGTCGTTGTGTTAGGATGATGGTCCTTGTCAGGGCTGATCAGCAGCAGCAGGGCTGGCAGCAGCTGGACACACAGGTGGGCTGGCAGCAGGTGGTCTCACAGCAGGCTGGGCGGCAGCAGGGCTGGCAGCAGCTGGATCCACAGCTCTGGTTTAGGCAGCCAGGCAGGCAGACACACGTGGGGTGGTAGCAGGTCCTCGTGCAGTACACAGGTGCACAGGAGCTGGTCTGACCACAGCTGGAGCCACAGCTGGTTTGGCCACAGCAGCTGGACCCACAGCAGGTGGGCTGGCAGCAGGATGTGCTGCAGCAGGAAGGCTGGCAGCAGCTGGTCACACAGGTGGGCTGGCAGCAGGTGGTCCTGCAGCAGGTGTTTTGACAGCAAGTTGGGCGGCAGCAAGGCTGGCAGCAGCTGGACACACAGCAGGAGGGCTGGCAGCAGGGTGTGCTGCAGCAGCTGGTCACACAGGTGGGCTTCCAGCAGGTGGTCCTGCAGCAGGTGGTCCGGCAGCACGTAGGCTGGCAGCAAGGGGAGCAGCAGTGGGTCATGATGTCAGAAGTGGACGGTGGGCTCCTGTTCAGAGATGAGTTTCCCAGAATCTGGTGACTCCTTCCAATCTGGGCCTTTTATACATGTGGCCTCCAAAGTTTCCACCAATCAGCAGGACTTTTCCTTGTTGCTGTTTACATTGTTTTCCACAGTCCGATTGGGATTGTCAAAGGGGAAGTTGTTTTTGAAATCTTATGAATCTTTTGAAAGTAAGGGTTTAATCTGTTTCTTAATTGTGAATTACTCACAGAAACTTTTGTTTCAGATAAAAGGAAGCCCGTGTCATCATTAGCATGGTTCCTGCTCTGATTATCTTCTGGTCATGTGATAGTTCCTGGTGACTGGGAAGGCTCAAGTTCTCTCTAGTAACCTCCTTCTTTGGCTGTATGTAGATTGGGAAGTGTCTGCGGGGAAAAGTGTGACGCTCATATATTTATAGTGACCAAAGGAACCCATGTCTGTGCCCAAAACTGCTCAGTCACCAAAGTCTGATTCAAGACTAACAGGTATCTCTCTGTAAAACACACACCACCTGTGTCTCTCAGTTCCATCAAAATCACCTGGGAAGAGGGTGTTTGGCACAGTGTGTTCTATGTGGCAGAGCAGAATTGAAGTAGTTGAGTACAAAGAGAAGTCCACTGGGATTTAGATAGCATCAAGCTATCTAATGCCCTGGGGTGACCATTCATCCTGATTTGTCTGGGAGTGAGGGGCTTACCAGGAATAGAATGTAGGACTTTCTGTGACATAACTGCTTTAGATTGAGGCCAACCAGCATGAGCTGTGTCTCAGCTCTGATCCTGGTTACCAGCACAGTCCGTGCCATTTCTTCTGTATTTCTTTTAATGAAGGAATTAGTTGAGTTGAGATGACACCTGATTCATCTTGGAATTGTAACATAGTTAAACATTATTTAGGTACAGAATTCATTTAGGAAGAATGTAAATTATGAATTTTCAACTTGAGCTAACTTTGTAAATACATCTGTGATCCCGTTACCAGGTTAGGAAACAGAAATTAATCCCATTCCCTTTAGATTATATTCTCTTACTCATTACCCAAAACAGATAATCCCTCTATCAAGTTCTAACACTGTAGTTCAATCTGCCTTTTTCTTTTTTACTTCTGTGTGAACTAAAATGATAATATTTCCTTCTCTATTTCTTTTGCATAGTCAAAAGTGATAGTTATTGCCTAGTCATTTTACACTCTTCATGTCAGAATATTAGAAGGCAAAGAACAGAGTTCCTATTTGGCGAGGAGCTACTATCTTGAAGTCAGAGAATGTAGGAGAATCTATCTGTAGCTCTGGACATTTAATGAATATATGAATTTACTAGCATGGCCATGATACACTACTACAAACCAAGTGGCTTAAATTTATTTTCTCATAGTTCTGAAGGCCAGCAGTCTGAATTTCAGGTGTGGACAAGGCTGTTTTGGCCTGAAGAGTGTAGGGAAACTATCAGTTCCAGGTCTCCTCCTTGACTTGCAGATGTGTGTCTTCTCCATGTGTCTCTTACATTACCTTCCTTCTAGAAGCACACTGCCTCTGAACTTCCCCATTCTACACAGGCATCAGTCATATTGAATCAGAGGCAATGATTCCAATAGGGCCTGATCTTAACTAATTACATTTTCAATGACTCTATTTGAGTATGAAGTTTTGCAGACACAAGTCACAAATGAGTGAAAACAGCAATTACAGCGGACAATGGTACAGTAACTAGCAGCTCAGACCTTGCAGACAGGAAGCTCTGGTTTATTGCTTCAGGAAAGTATCTAGAGCAACAAAATGCTGGACAGTGGAGAAATAAGTGTCAAACTTGTGGTAAATTTGTGGAGATGATGAGTCTCAGGTGCACCTTATTATAGTAGCAGCAACTGTTGCTTGTTCCACTGGCCTTCATTTTATATATCTCTCCCCCTCCGTTCTTTCCTTTCCTTCTTAGTTTCTCCTTCCTTCCTCCCTTCCTTCCTTCCTTCATTCCTTCCTTCGTTCGTTCGTTCGTTCCTTCCTTCCTTTCTTCTCTCCCTCCCTTTCTCTCTTCCTCTTTTCCTTCCCTTTCTCCTTCCCTCCCTCCTTTCTTTCCTTCTTTCCCTCCCTCTCTCCTTCCTCCATTCCTTCCTTCTCTCTTTCATCTTTCTGTCTCTCTTCTTCCTGTCATCTTCTGTTCTTCCTCTTTCTCCTCTTCCTCTCCTCCTCATCTTCCTTCTTCTAGAGTTTGTGGTTGCTTACCACATTTAAGAAGCAAAGATTGGGTCTGTGTGGAGCAAATGGTAGATTGTAGCTAAGATTTCCTTATTCCACCCTGTATCTTGGATCTTAGTGTACTCAGACCAATATACATTCACCAGAATCTGCATCTCTGTGCCTAAGGGCTCTAGTATTGCAACTGAAGAAAGTCAAGTCACCTGTGCATGTCACACAGAGAAATCATTCAACCAATGGTTCTGGAGAGTTGATTTATGAAGACTAACTTCGTCCTTCCTGAAGCAGGATCATTCTAATTTATTTTTTTCATCATTTCTGACATTTTAAAAAAATTTTTTATTGAATTTTAGGTTTTGGAGTACATGAGCAGAGCATGCAAGACAGTTGCGTAGGTACACACATGGCAGTGTGCTTTGCTTTTCTTCTCCCCTTCACCCACATTTGGCATTTCTCCCCAGGCTATCCCTCCCCACCTCCCCCTCCCACTGGCCCTCCCCTTTTCCCCCCAATAGACCCCAGTGTTTAGTACTCCCCTCCCTGTGTCCATGTGTTCTCATTTTTCATCACCCACCTATGAGTGAGAATATGCGGTGTTTCATTTTCTGTTCTTGTGTCAGTTTGCTGAGGATGATGTTTTCCAGATTCATCCATGTCCCTACAAACGACACGAACTCATCATTTCTGATTGCTGCATAATATTCCATGGTGTATATGTGCCACATTTTTCCAATCCAGTCTATTATCAATGGGCATTTGGGTTGATTCCAGGTCTTTGCTATTGTAAACAGTGCTGCAATGAACATTCGTGTACATGTGTCCTTATAGTAGAACGATTTATAGTCTTTTGGATATATACCCAGTAATGGGATTGCTGGGTCAAATGGAATTTCTATTTCTAAGGCCTTGATGAATCGCCACACTGTCTTCCACAATGGTTGAACTAATTTACACTCCCACCAACAGTGTAAAAGTGTTCCTTTTTCTCCACATCCTCTCCAGCATCTGTTGTCTCCAGATTTTTTAATGATCGCCATTCTAACTGGCGTGAGATGGTATCTCAATGTGGTTTTGATTTGCATCTCTCTGATGACCAGTGACGATGAGCATTTTTTCATATGATTGTTGGCCTCATATATGTCTTCTTTCGTAAAGTATCTGTTCATATCCTTTGCCCACTTTTGAATGGGCTTGTTTGTTTTTTTCCTGTAAATCTGCTTGAGTTGTTTGTAAATTCTGGATATCAGCCCTTTGTCAGATGGGTAGACTGCGAAAATTTTTTCCCATTCTGTTGGTTGCCGATCCACTCTAGTGACTGTTTCTTTTGCCGTGCAGAAGCTGTGGAGTTTCATTAGGTCCCATTTGTCTATTTTGGCTTTTGTTGCCAATGCTCTTGGTGTTTTGTTCATGAAGTCCTTGCCTACTCCTATGTCCTGGATAGTTTTACCTAGATTTCCTTCTAGGGTTTTTATGGTGCCAGGTCTTATATTTAAGTCTTTAATCCATCTGGAGTTAATTTTAGTGTGAGGTGTCAGGAAGGGGTCCAGTTTCTGCTTTCTGCACATGGCTAGCCAGTTTTCCCAACACCATTTGTTAAACATGGAATCCTTGCCCCATTGCTTGTTTTTGTCAGGTTTATCAAAGATTGTATAGTTGTATGTATGTTGTGTTGCCTCTGGTGCCTCTGTTTTGTTCCATTGGTCTATATCTCTGTTTTGGTACCAGTACCATGCTGTTTTGATTACTGTAGCCTTGTAGTATAGTTTGAAATCCGGTAGTGTGATGCCCCCCGCTGTGTTCTTTTTGCTTAGAATTGACTTGGCTATGCGGGCTCTCTTTTGGTTCCATATGAAGTTCATGGTAGTTTTTTCCAGTTCTGTGAAGAAAGTCAATGGTAGCTTGATGGGGATAGCGTTGATTCTGTAAATTACTTTGGGCAGTATAGCCATTTTCACGATATTAATTCTTCCTAACCATGAACATGGAATGTTTCTCCATCTGTTTGTGTCCTCTCTGATTTCGTTGAGCAGTGGTTTGTAGTTCTCCTTGAAGAGGTCCCTTACGTTCCTTGTGAGTTGTATTCCTAGGTATTTTATTCTTTTTGTAGCAATTGCGAATGGCAGTTCGCTCTTGATTTGGCTTTCTTTAAGTCTGTTATTGGTGTAGACGAATGCTTGTGATTTTTGCACATTGATTTTATATCCTGAGACTTTGCTGAAGTTGTTTATCAGTTTCAGGAGTTTTTGGGCTGAGGCGATGGGGTCTTCTAGGTATACTATCATGTCGTCTGCAAATAGAGACAATTTGGCTTCCACCTTTCCTATTTGAATACCCTTTATTTCTTTTTCTTGCCTGATTGCTCTGGCTAGAACTTCCAGTACTATATTGAATAGGAGTGGTGAGAGAGAGCATCCTTGTCTGGTACCAGATTTCAAAGGGAATGCTTCCAGTTTTTTCCCATTCAGTATGATATTGGCTGTTGGTTTGTCATAAATAGCTTTTATTACTTTGAGATACGTTCCATCGATACCGAGTTTATTGAGGGTTTTTAGCATAAAGGGCTGTTGAATTTTGTCCAATGCCTTCTCTGCGTCAATTGAGATAATCATGTGGTTTTTGTCTTTGGTTCTGTTTATGTGGTGAATTACGTTGATAGACTTGCGTATGTTGAACCAGCCTTGCATCCCTGGGATGAATCCTACTTGATCATGATGAATAAGTTTTTTTATTTGCTGTTGCAATCGGCTTGCCAATATTTTATTGAAGATTTTTGCATCTATGTTCATCATGGATATTGGCCTGAAGTTTTCTTTTCTCGTTGGGTCTCTGCCGGGTTTTGGTATCAGGATGATGTTGGTCTCGTAAAATGATTTGGGAAGGATTCCCTCTTTTTGGATTGTTTGAAATAGTTTTAGAAGGAATGGTACCAGCTCCTCCTTGTGTGTCTGGTAGAATTCGGCTGTGAACCCATCTGGACCTGGGCTTTTTTTGTGAGGTAGGCTCTTAATTGCTGCCTCAACTTCAGACCTTGTTATTGGTCTATTCATAGTTTCAGCTTCCTCCTGGTTTAGTCTTGGGAGGACACAGGAGTCCAGGAATTTATCCATTTCTTCCAGGTTTACTAGTTTATGTGCATAGAGTTGTTTGTAATATTCTCTGATGATGGTTTGAATTTCTGTGGAATCTGTGGTGATTTCCCCTTTATCATTTTTTATTGCATCTATTTGGTTGTTCTCTCTTTTATTTTCAATCAATCTGGCTAGTGGTCTGTCTATTTTGTTGATCTTTTCAAAAAACCAGCTCTTGGATTTATTGATTTTTTGAAGGGTTTTTCGTGTCTCAATCTCCTTCAGCTCAGCTCTGATCTTAGTAATTTCTTGTCTTCTGCTGGGTTTTGAGTTTTTTTGATCTTGCTCCTCTAGCTCTTTCAATTTTGACGATAGGGTGTCAATTTTGGATCTCTCCATTCTCCTCATATGGGCACTTATAGCTATATACTTTCCTCTAAAGACTGCTTTAAATGTGTCCCAGAGGTTCTGGCACGTTGTGTCTTCATTCTCATTGGTTTCGAAGAACTTCTTTATTTCTGCCTTCATTTCGTTGTTTACCCAGTCAACATTCAAGAGCCAGTTGTTCAGTTTCCATGAAGCTGTGCGGTTCTGGGTCGGTTTCTGAATTCTGAGTTCTAACTTGATTGCACTATGGTCTGAGAGGCTGTTTGTTATGATTTCAGTTGTTTTGCATTTGTTGAGCAGTGCTTTACTTCCAATGATGTGGTCAATTTTAGAGTAGGTGTGATGTGGTGCTGAGAAGAATGTGTATTCTGTGGATTTGGGGTGGAGAGTTCTGTAAATGTCCACCAGGTTTGCTTGCTCCAGGTCTGAGTTCAAGCCCTGGGTATCCTTGTTGATTTTCTGTCTGGTTGATCTGTCTAGTATTGACAGTGGAGTGTTAAAGTCTCCCACTATTATTGTGTGGGAGTCTAAGTCCTTCTGTAAGTCATTAAGAACTTGCCTTATGTATCTGGGTGCTCCTGTGTTGGGTCCATATATGTTTAGGATCGTTAGCTCTTCTTGTTGTATCGATCCTTTTACCATTATGTAATGGCCTTCTTTGTCTCTTTTGATCTTTGTTGCTTTAAAGTCTATTTTATCAGAGATGAGAATTGCAACTCCTGCTTTTTTTTGCTTTCCATTAGCTTGGTAAGTCTTCCTCCATCCCTTTATTTTGAGCCTTTGTGTATCCTTGCATGTGAGATGGGTTTCCTGGATACAGCACACTGATGGGTTTTGGATTTTTATCCAATTTGCCAGTCTGTGTCTTTTGATTGGTGCATTTAGTCCATTTACATTTAGGGTTAATATTGTTATGTGTGAATTTGATACTGCCATTTTGATTCTAAGTGGCTGTTTTGCCTGTTAGTTGTTGTAGATTCTTCATTATGTTGAAGCTCTTTAGCATTCAGTGTGATTTTGGAATGGCTGGTACTGGTTGATCCTTTCTATGTGTAGTGCCTCTTTTAGGAGCTCTTGTAAAGCAGGCCTGGTGGTGACAAAATCTCTGAGTACTTGCTTGTTCGCAAAGGATTTTATTCTTCCTTCACTTCTGAAGCTCAGTTTGGCTGGATATGAAATTCTGGGTTGAAAGTTCTTTTCTTTAAGAATGTTGAATATTGGCCCCCACTCTCTTCTGGCTTGTAGTGTTTCTGCCGAGAGATCTGCTGTGAGTCTGATGGGCTTCCCTTTGTGGGTGACCCGACCTTTCTCTCTGGCTGCCCTTAGTATTCTCTCCTTTATTTCAACCCTGTTGAATCTGACGATTATGTGCCTTGGGGTTGCTCTTCTTGCGGAATATCTTTGTGGTGTTCTCTGTATTTCCTGCAATTGAGTGTTGGCTTGTCTTGCTAGGTGGTGGAAATTTTCCTGGATGATGTCCTGAAGAGTATTTTCCAGCTGGGATTCATTCTCTTCGTCCCCTTCTGGTACACCTATCAAACGTAGGTTAGGTCTTTTCACATAGTCCCACATTTCTTGGAGACTTTGTTCATTCCTTTTTGCGCTTTTTTCTCTGATCTTGGTTTCTCGTTTTATTTCATTGAGTTGGTCTTCGACTTCAGATATTCTTTCTTCTGCTTGGTCAATTTGGCTGTTGAAACTTGCGTTTGCTTCGCGAAGTTCTCGTATTGTGTTTTTCAGCTCCTTTAATTCATTCATATTCCTCTCTAAGGTATCCATTCTTGTTATCATTTCCTCAAATCTTTTTTTAAATCTTTTTTCAAGGTTCTTAGTTTCTTTGCATTGATTTAATACATGATCTTTTAGCTCACAAAAGTTTCTCATTATCCATCTTCTGAAGTCTAATTCCGTCATTTCGTCACAGTCATTCTCCGTCCAGCTTTGTTCCCTTGCTGGTGAGGAGTTTTGGTCCTTTCTAGGAGGGGATGTGTTCTGGTTTCGGGTGTTTTCCTCCTTTTTGCGCTGGTTTCTTCCCATCTTTGTGGATTTGTCCGCTGGTCGTCTGCGTAGTTGCTGACTTTTCGTTTGGGTCTCTGAGTGGACACCCAGAATGTTGATGATGAAGTATTTCTGTTGCTTGGTTTTCCTTCTACCAGTCTAGCCCCTTCGCTGTACGACTGTTGAGGTCCGCTCCAGACCCTGCTTGTCTGGGGTGCACCTCTAGTAGCCGTGGCACAGCGAGGGATGCTACCAGTTTCTTTTTCTGCTCTCTTTGTCCCAGGATGATGCCTGCCTAATGACAGTCTTTTGGATATAGAGGGGTCAGGGAGCTGCTTGAGGAGACAGTTTGTACTTTATAGGGGTTTAATTGCTGAGCTGTGCACTCTGTTGTTCATTCAGGGCTGTTAGGCTGCTATGTTTGATTCTGCTGCAACACAGCTCATTAAACAACCCTTTTTTTTTTCTCAAATGCTCTGTGTTGAGGGGTTTGGGCTTTATTTTTGGATGTCCGATCAGGTGTCCTGCCCAGCTCAAAGGCAGACTAGCCACTGTTTGGCTGCCGAGGCTCCGCCCTGCTGTTGTGTGATTCGCGCTGTTCCTGCCGGCTCTGCTGTGGTCTCCGCCACGCCCTTGTAGCGTGTTGCCTCAGCAATGGCAGGCTGCGTCAGCAGTGGGCGTGTATCTCAGTAGGGATGGGTTGCCTCGGCAACGGCTGGCTGCGTCAGCAGTGGGCGTGTATCTCAGTTGGGGCGGGTTGCCTCGGCAACGGCTGGCTGCCTCAGCAGTGGGCGTTTATATCAGTTGGGGCAGGTTGCCTCCGTAGTGGTGGACGCCCCTCCCCCACAGAGCGTCTCGGACCGTCTGCCCGGGATTGTTTGAAATCGCGGTTTTGTTCGTCCCACTGGGTATCCCAAGCGATCTGTCACTGCAATCCCCTGGGCTGGGCTACTGTGCAAGTCTCGTTCAGTCTCAAGTCCAGCCCTCTCAAGTCTCAGGTTGCCGGTTCAACAAGGCACCCGGACAAGTGCGCCCTGTGGGGATTGCTGGGTAGGGCCGGCCGCCGCCGCCCCGGCTGCCGGCTTCGCCAGGCAGACCTACTGCCTGGCGTCCCGTGTCTTTTTATACTTGGGAGTTTCCCCGTTCTGTGGGCAACAAAGATCAGTCTGGAAATGCAGCACTGACTCACCGTTTGCGAATTCAACGCGGGCTCCAATCCTGGGTTGTTCTCACAGCGCCATCTTGAGTCCCCCTCTCGAGGAAGTTCTTCCACTTTTCCTCCTTCTTAAATTCTACTGATATTCCTGAAAATCAGAAGAATTGGTTTCTTCAGATGCTTCCTATTTGCCTCACAAAACACAGAAGGTTGTTTTCTACCTTTAGTCGGCACAGAGATTATGGTTTGTGCAAAGCCATACATGCCCACTGGATAGTCCCTCAATCCCCAAATGTGTTTTACATAATTTTCCTAATAACAACTTGATTTGAGGGACAATTTGACTTAATATATTCTCCACATTTTATAGGAAATAACTTAATTTCATTTTGCTTTGTCAACAGGTATTCAGGGGAAGGAAGCTATAAAAGAATATTATTTATATGATTTAAATCCTCAGATCAGACTCTCTTTCATGGGGACAGAATGCATTCTCTGAAATGTTTGATGCAGATTAATTGAATAAATAGCTGGTAAGAGGTGGAGAGGAAAAAAAGATCCACATTCAGAAGAGCTATTAAATGCAGTCCCTGTTTTAATATCATGTAACTATTGCTCACTGAGGTGTGGAAAATTAATTTGTGAAGACCTTTGTGAACAGAAATGTTATCTGCAAATGTGAGAGATTACACCACCCATGTTCAATAAACTCAGTGCATGTCTTGCTGTTACTGAATCCCAATACCATTTCTACTTACTAAGAGTTAAATAGGAGTGATCTTGGGCATAAAGAGAAGATCTCACCTTCGACCTGAGTCTGTCTTTTATTAGCTACATTAAATCACACAATAAATTGTTCTCAGCTGAAAAATTGAGGTAATAACACATGAGCATCTATTTTCAGAATCAAATTGGATAATACGTATAGCATGCAATATGTGTATAAATCCCTTATCAGCAATATTGTAGAATAAAACAAAACAACATATGAGATGGAGGATTGGAGGATGGTTCAGAATTTATTTAGAAACATATAGGTAGGAATTGGTGCTATGAGGGACATAGCCCAGAGTTATCATAAAAAGAAGAAAGAAGGGTAAAAAAGCATGAAGAGGAAATTGAAAATGAAAATATAAATTCAAAGATATGGATCAGTTGCAGAAATCTAAATTTCTGAGAAGCAGAGAATGAAGTTCTTGACTTTACGGGCAAAGTTGAGAACATGACTCCAAACTGAGGACACAGGAAGCTGGCACATGATCCACAAAGTGTCAGGAGAAAGAGAATCAGGACAAAGTACTCTGCCCTCCCTCAAGCTGATTCACAAGATTTTAAACATGCAGAAAAAAAAATTGGTGATAGCATTCTGTGTTTGAAGGTAAAGCTGTCCCCTGAAAGATAAGTCAAGTTGAGGCTGGTCATGGTGGCTCATGCCTGTAATCCCAGAATTTTGGGGGGGGCCGAGGTGGGTGGATCACTTGAGGTCAGGTGTTTGAGACCAGCCTGATCAACATGGTAAAACTCCATGACTACTAAAAATAAAAAAATTAGTCAGGCATGGTGGAATAAGCCTGTAATCCCAGCTAGTTGGGAGGCTGAGGCAGGAGAATTGGTTGAACCTGAGAGCCAGAGGTTACAGTGAGTCAAAATAATGGGACTGCACTGCAGCCTGGTGACGGAGTGAGAATCCGGAGGAGAAAAAAAAAAGTGAGAATGTTGTTGTGTTAGGATGATGGTCCTTGTCAGGGCTGATCAGCAGCAGCAAGGCTGGAAGCAGCTGGACACACAGGTGGGCTGGCAGCAGGTGGTCCTGCAGCAGGTGGTCTCACAGCAGGCTGGGTGACAGCAGGGCTGGCAGCAGCTGGACCCACAGCTCTGGTTTAGGCAACCAGGCAGACAGACACACGTGGGGTGGTAGCAGGTTCTCGTGCAGTAAACAGGTGCACAGGAGCTGGTCTGGCCACAGCTGGAGCCACAACTGGTTTGGCCACAGCAGCTGGACCCGCAGCAGGAAGGCTGGCAGCAGCTGGTCACACAGGTGGGCTGGCAGCAGGTGGTCCCGCAGCAGGTGTTTTGACAGCAAGTTGGGCGGCAGCAAGGCTGGCAGCAGCTGGACACACAGCAGGAGGGCTGGCAGCAGGGTGTGCTGCTGCAGCTGGTCACACAGGTGGGCTTCCAGCAGGTGGTCCTGCAGCAGGTGGTCCGGCAGCACGTAGGCTGGCAGCAAGGGGAGCAGCAGTGGGTCATGGTGTCAGGGGTGGAGGGTGGGCTCCTGTTCAGAGGTGAGTTTCCCAGAATCTGGTGACTCCTTCCAATCTGGGCCTTTTATACATGTGGCCTTCAAAGTTTCCACCAATCAGCAGGACATTTCCTTGTTGCTGTTTACATTGTTTTCCACAGTCCGATTGGGATTGTCAAAGGGGAAGTTGTTTTTGAAATCTTATGAATCTTTTGAAAGTAAGGGTTTAATCTGTTTCTTAATTGTGAATTACTCACAGAAACTTTGTTTCAGATAAAAGGAAGCCCGTGTCATCATTAGCATGGTTCCTGCTCTGATTATCTTCTGGTCATGTGATAGTTCCTGGTGACTGGGGAAGAAGTTCTCTCTAGCAACCTCCTTCTTTGGCTGTATGTAGATTGGGAAGTGTCTGCGGGGAAAAGTGTGATGCTCATATATTTATAGTGACCAAAGAAACCCATATATGTGCCCAAAACTGCTCAGTCACCAAAGTCTGATTCAAGACTAATAGGTATCTCTCTGTAAAACACACACCACCTGTGTCTCTCAGTTCCATCAAAATCACTTGGGAATGGGGTGTTTGGCACAGTGTGTTCTATGTGGCAGAGCAGAATTGAAGTAGTTGAGTACAAAGAGAACTCCACTGGGATTTAGACAGCATCAAGCAATCTTTGCCCTGGGGTGACCATTCACTCTGATTTGTCTGGGAGTGAGGGGCTTACCAGGAATAGAATGTAGGACTTTCTGTGACATAACTGCTTTAGATTGAGGCCAACCAGCATGAGCTGTGTCTCAGCTCTGATCCTGGTTATCAGCACAGTCAGTGCCATTTCTTCTGCATTTCTTTTAATGAAAAAATTAGGTGAGTTGAGATGTCACCTGATTCATCTTGGAGATGTAACATCTTTAAGCATTTTTCAGGTATACGATTCATTTAGGAATAATGTAAATTATTAATTTCTGACTTGAGATAACTTTGCAAGTGCATCTATGATCCAATTACTAGGTTAGGAAACAGAAATTAGTTCCATTCCGTTTAGATTATATTCTTTCTTTTTAACAAATTTTTTTATTGCATTTTAGGTTTTGGGGTACATGTGCAGAACATGCAAGACAGTTGCATAGGTACACACATGGCAGTTTGTTTTGCTTGCTTTCTCCCCTTCACCCACATTGGCATTTCTCCCCAGGCTATCCCTCCCCAGCTCCCCCCCTTGCTGGCCATCCCCTTTTCCCCACAATAGACCCCAGTGTTTAGTACTCCCCTTTCTGTGTCCATGTGTTCTCATTTTTCATCACCCGCCTATGAGTGACAATATGCGGTATTTCATTTTCTGTTCTTGTGTCAGTTTGCTGAGAATGATGTTCTCCAGATTCATCCATGTCCCCACAAATGACACAAACTCACCATTTCTGATTGCTGCATAATATTCCATAGTGTATATGTGCCACATTTTCCCAGTCCAGTCTATCATCAATGGGCATTTGGGTTGATTCCAGGACTTTGCTCTTGTAAACAGTGCTGCAATGAACATTCGTGTGCATGTGTCCTTATAGTAGAACGATTTATAGTCCTTTAAATATATACTCAGTAATGGGATTGCTCGCAAATGGAATTTCTATTTCTAAGGCCTTGAGGAATCGCCACACTGTCTTCCACAATGGTTGAACTAATTTACACTCCCACCAACGGTGTAAAAGTGTTCCTTTTTCTCCACATCCTCTCCAGCATCTGTTGTCTCCAGATTTTTTAATGAGAGCCATTCTAACTGGCGTGAGATGGTATCTCAATGTGGTTTTGATTTGCATCTCTCTGATGACCAGTGACGATGAGCATTTTTTCATATGATTGTTGGCCTCATATATGTCTTCTTTTGTAAGGTGTCTGTTCATATCCTTTGCCCATTTTTGAATGGGCTCATTTGTTTTTTCCTGTAAATCTGTTTGAGTTCTTTGTAAATTCTGGATATCAGCCCTTTGTCAGATGGGTAAACTGCAAAATTTTTTTCTCATTCTATTGGTTGCCGATTCACTCTAGTGACTGTTTCTTTTGCCGTGCAGAAGCTGTGGAGTTTGATTAGGTCCCATTTGTCTATTTTGGCTTTTGTTGCCAATGCGTTTGGTGTTTTGTTCAAGAAGTCCTTGTGTACTCCTATGTCCTGGATGGTTTTGCCTAGATTTTCTTTTAGGGTTTTTATGGTGCCAGGTCTTATGTTTAAGTCTTTAATTCATCTGAAGTTAATTTTAGTATAAGGTGTCAGGAAGGGGTCCAGTTTCTGCTTTCTGCACATGGCTAGCCAGTTTTCCCAACACCATTTATTAAACAGGAAATCCTTTTCCCATTGCTTGTTTTTGTCAGGTTTATCAAAGATTGTATGGTTGTAGATATGTTGTGTTGCCTCCGATGACTCTGTTCTGTTCCATTGGTCTATATCTCTATTTTGGTACCTGTATCATGCTGTTTTGATTACTGTAGCCTTGTAGTATAGTTTGAAATCTGGTAGTGTGATGCCCCTCGCTGTGTTCTTTTTCCTTAGAATTGACTTGGCTATGCGGGCTCTCTTTTGGTTCCATATGAAGTTCATGGTGGTTTTCTCCAGTTCTGTGAAGAAAGTCAATGGTAGCTTGATGGGGATAGCGTTGATTCTGTAAATTACATTGGGCAGTATAGCCATTTTCACGATATTAATTCTTACTAACCATAAACATGGAATGTTTTTCATGTGTTTGTGTCCTCTCTTATTTTGTTGAGCAGTGGTTTGTAGTTTTCCCTGAAGAGGTCCCTTACGTTCCTTGTGAGTTGTATTCCTAGGTATTTTATTCTTATTTTAGCAATTGTGAATGGCAGTTCGTTCTTGATTTGGCTCTCTTTAAGTCTGTTATTGGTTTAGAGGAATGCTTGTGATTTTTGCACATTGATTTTATATCCTGAGACTTTGCTGAAGTTGCTTATCAGTTTCAGCAGTTTTTGGGCTGAGGCGATGCGGTCTTCTAGGTATACTATCATGTCGTCTGCAAATAGAGACAATTTGGCTTCCACCTTTCCTATTTGAATACCCTTTATTTCTTTTTCTTGCCTGATTGCTCTGGCTAGAACTTTCAGTACTATATTGAATAGGAGTGGTGAAAGAGGGCATCCTTGTCTAGTGCCATATTTCAAAGGGGATGCTTTTAGTTTTTGCCCATTCAGTATGATATTGGCTGTTGGTTTGTCGTAAATAGCTTTTATTACTTTGAGATACCTTCCATCGATACCGAGTTTATTGAGGGTTTTTAGCATAAAGTCCTGTTGAATTTTGTCACATGCCTTTTCTGCATCAATTGAGATAATCATGTGGTTTTTATTTTTGATTCTGTTGATGTGGTGAATTACGTTGATAGACTTGCGTATGTTGAACCAGCCTTGCATCCCCGGGATAAATTCTACTTGATCATGATCGATAAGTTTTTTGATTTGCTGTTGCAATCGACTTGCCAATATTTTACTGAAGATTTTTGCATCTATGTTCATCATGGATATTGGCCTGAAGATTTCTTTTCTTGTTGGGTCTCTGCCAGGTTTTGGCATAAGGATAATGTTGGTCTCATAAAATGATTTGGGAAGGATTCCCTCTTTTTGGACTATTTGGAATAGTTTCAGAAGGAATGGTACCAGCTCCTCTTTGTGTGTCTGGTAGAATTCGGCTGTGAACCCATCTGGACCTGGGCTTTTTTTGTGTGTGGTAGCCTCTTAATTGCTGCCTCGACTTCTGACCTTGTTATTGGTCTATTCATAGTTTCAGCTTCCTTCTGGTTTAGGCTTGGGAGGACACAGGAATACAGGAATTTATCCATTTCTTCCAGGTTTACTAGTTTTTGTGCATAGAGTTGTTTGTAATATTCTCTGATGATGGTTTAAATTTCTGTGGAATAAATTATGTTGATGCTTTTTAGCATTTAGTGTGATTTTGGAATGGCTGGTACTGGTTGTTTTTTTCTATGTGTAGTGCCTCTTTCAGGAGCTCTTGTAAAGCAGGCCTGGTGGTGACAAAATCTCTGAGTACTTGCTTGTTCATAAAGGATTTTATTTTTCCTTCACTTATGAAGCTCAGTTTGGCTGGATATGAAATTCTGGGTTGAAAGTTCTTTCCTCTAAGAACGTTGAATATTGGCCCCCACTCTCTTTTGGCTTGTAGAGTTTCTGCCAAGAGATCTGCTGTGAGTCTGATAGGCTTCCCTTTGTGGGTGACCCGAACTTTCTCTCTGGCTGCCCTTAATATTTTCTCCTTTATTTCAACCTTGTTGAATCTGACGATTATGTGCCTTGGGGTTGCTCTTCTTGCAGAATATCTTTGTGGTGTTCTCTGTGTTTCCTGCATTTGAGTGTTGGCCTGTCTTTCTAGGTGGGGGAAATTTTCCCGGATAATGTCCTGAAGAGTATTTTCCAGCTTGGATTCATTCTCTTCGTCCCCTTCTGGTACACCTATCAAACGTAGTTTAGGTCTTTTCACATAGTCCCACATTTCTTGGAGACTTTGTTCATTCCTTTCTGCGCTTTTTTCTCTGATCTTGGTTTCTTGTTTTATTTCATTGAGTTGATCCTCGACTTCTGATATTCTTTCTTCTGCTTGGTCAGTTCCGCTCTTGACACTTGTGCATGCTTCACGAAGTTCTCGTATTGTGTTTTTCAGCTCCTTTAATTCATTCATATTCCTCTCTAAGTTATCCATTCTTGTTATCATTTCCTCGAATCTTTTTTCAAATCTTTTTTCAAGGTTCTTAGTTTCTTTGCATTGATTTAAAACATGTTCTTTTAGCTCACAAAAGTTTCTCATTATCCACCTTTTGAAGTCTAATTTTGTCATTTCCTCACAGTCATTCTCCATCCCGCTTTGTTCCCTTGCTGGTGAGACGTTTTGGCCCTTTGTAGGAGGCGAGGTGTTCCGGTTTCGGGTGTTTTCCTCCTTTTTGCGCTTGTTTCTTCCCATCTTTGTTGATTTATCCACCTGTCATCTGAGTAGTTGCTGACTTTTCGATTGGGTCTCTGAGTGGACGCCCAGACT